AGTCTGAAGAAGGAGTCGGAGGAGGCTGCTGCTCTGTCAAAATCCCCTCTTGCCTCCTCACCAAGGCCTCCTATTCATGCAGCTGGAAAGTCTCCCACATGSTGTCAGTGGAAACATAAGGGATGACTGTGGGTGCCTCAGAAGATATTCAGAAAAAGAAAATGAAAACGCAGTCGCTGTGGACGTCGTGGCTGCACTCAGTGGTTTTTTTTTTCAGAGGAGAATAAACTGAGCTGGCAAGTGAGAAATGACTACTGTTCCTGTTTTAATCCCCAGAATCTCATGGCAGAGCTGCAGTTTACATCTTCTCTATGATGTCTTTTTTAGTGTATCAAATAAGGCTGCTTTCCCAGCAGTTTTCCTCTTGCAGTTGTACTATCTAAAATAGCATGGGTTTGCTTTGTTTTAACATTCTGCTGAGCCCTATCGCTGTAAAACAARGTGCACGTTTAACGTCTCATTAAAGATTAGTTCACTTTGTTTGGATTCGCTCTGTTCTTTGCACATGACACCTAAAAAGGACTGAAGACCTAATTGATAAATCACTAACAAAGGTGTGAATGGACAGAGAGAGAACGTGGAAAATGAAGGTAAAAACTCAAAGAAGGATGCATTCGTTTTGAGGAGCAAAGTGACATCCAGCATCTATCATTTTGCAGCTGATTGACCCTTCATGCACTTAAATCATGTGATACAACAATTTGTTGACCTACTGAACCTCTCACTTACATCTGGGTGTGTGCCGAGCAACTTTTAAAAAGCAATCGTTGAACCCAAATTAAAAAAGCAGTCCCTCAACCCCTCAGATCTCAACAACTACCGGCCCATCTCTAAATTACCTTTCCTGTCTAAAGTCTTGGAGAAAATTGTATCTCTACAACTTACTGCTTACCTGGGTGAAATAATATTCARAATCTTTTTCAATCGGGCTTCCGCAAATTTCACTCCACTGAAACCGCTCTTCTACGTGTATCAAATGACATACTGTCTGCTGATGGCTTCTACACCGTTCTGCTCCTTTTAGACCTTTCCTCTTCCTTTGACACTGTTGATCATACCATTCTACTACGCAGCCTGAGAAACACTGGGATATCGGGTTCTGTATTAAACTGGTTTAATTCATACCTCTCCGACCGCTCTTTCTCAGTACTTCAAAATCAAACTTATTCTGAACCAGCACAACTCACTTGTGGCGTTCCACAGGGTTCAATCCTGGTGCCCCTCCTTTTCCTCCTTTACATCCGCCCACTAAGCCAGATCATTGACAATTTTCATGTCTCCTATCACTTCTACACTGATGACCTGCAGTTAAACTGCTCTTTTAACGAGTCAAGTCCCCACAAGCTGATCTCTTTTTTTAGACCATATCACAGAAGTAAACAAATGGCTCTCTGACAACCTGCTACTTCTTAACCGTGACAAGACAGAAACTCTGATCCTGGCACCTGAAAATACAACCCATTCTCACTCCCAAGTCGTCACATATTGACGCGTTTCCAAGGTTCCCTCTACGTCCGATTTTGACGCGCAGGGTACCCCCGTCACGTCAGTTACTGACGAGATGGGGCGAAATCTGTTGTCATATTTTCAGAAAGTGTCTAAAATGCGCGAAAACGACCGTTCCAAAGCGTGAAATTACCTTTGTTGACTTTAGACA